ATGCAGTTGGGTTATGGAGTGGGTGGGGTGGGGCTGGTGCTCAGGTGGTGGGTGGGGCAGCCGTTTAGGGGTGGCCACGTGGGGGCCATCAGAGCTAGTCTCCCGGCTTTTGCAATTTTCCCCCGAGTGCTTTACCAAGAGAGGAGGAGGAGCCCTAGCGGCATAGTTGGGCTGCTAACCTAGGTCAGTGGTTTGAAACCACCGGGCACACCAAGGGAGAAAGAGGAGGCTGTCTACACCCGTCAAGAGTTACAGCCTCCAGAACCCACGGGGGCAGTTCCACCTTGTCCTATAGGGTCACTATGAGTTCGCATGACTTGATGGCAGTGAGTTTATCAAGGGAGAGCTCACGGAGCTCCCCAGGGAAGGGTATAGTTGGTCAGCTTTCCCCCCCGCCACAGCTGCATCTGTTACTTGGTCACTCAGAAAGGAGCCCCGCGCACATCAGTATCAGTGCCCGTCCCCCCAGACACCCCCATGCCAGGCCCTGGGGATCATGGACCCTCTCCGAACTTAGGTTGTGGTTGCCAGGTGCCGCCCAGCCGGCTCTGACCCACAGGGGCCAAAACCCTGCGGCCCCGCTCCCCGCCTGGTCCTCTGACCAGTATGCTTGAGCCCTGGCTGCAGGTGCCGTGTCCGGCCGTCTCCTTGAGGCCCCATAAGATTCATACCTGCCCTATAGGACAGGGTAGAACTGTCCCCTGTGGGCTTCTGAAACCCTAAACCTTGCCAGGAGCAGACAGCCTCATCTCCTCCTCCCATGGGGACACAGGTGGGTTGAAAGTGTAACTAGCCATTCAAGGCATCGCCCACAACAACACCAGCTTCTTAGGGGGAAGGGGAAGATGACCTTCCACAAGGGGGAGATTGAGGAGGGGAAAAAACAAACAAACGGGTAGAAACAGGGCAAGCCACTGGGAGGTTGGATAAGTTGCGGGATGCCCAAACGAGGATCTGATCTGTAAGCTCCCGCCTCCTAATCCACAATAAAAAGCTTAAAAAAAAAAAAAAGAGAGAGAGAGAGAGAAAAGAATTGGCGTTCTCCTATAGAAAGAGCACCTAGACATCAATAAGCAAAACACACACACACACACAACTTTCAGCTGGTGGAAAGAAGTTGAGCAGGGCCTCCCGGGACGAGCAGGTGGCAGAGAGCGAAGCCCCCCAGCCCTGACCCCCTGTTCTGCCCCCCTGGCCCCTCGGCTTGCAGGAGCGGAAGCTGCTGGAGGAGCGTCTGGCTGAGTTCTCCTCCCAGGCAGCGGAGGAGGAGGAGAAGGTGAAGAGCCTCAACAAGCTGCGGCTCAAGTACGAGGCCACCATCACAGACATGGAAGGTAACGGGGATGCCCGAGTCGGGGGTCTCCGTGTGGGGCCTGTGCTGAGAGGGTGAGGGGTGGGGTCCTCAGCAGCCTGCCTGTTGACTGGGACCACGTCCTCTCAGCCCTGAAGTCGCTTCTGGCCACCGCCACCCTGAGTCCAGTTCCCTTGCTGTGTTTGTCTGCCTTTCTCTGGCTGGCCCACTGCCTGACTCTGATTCAGGCGCCCACTAGCGGTTTTGTTTGGGTTTGCAATGCTTTTAGGGACCTAGCATTCATGACTGTACAACCCAGTGGTATACATGTATTTCAGATTTGTGCAGTCACCACAACAATCAATTTTAGGACATTTTCTGCAGTTTGAGACCCGTATTATTAATACCCCCTTA